AGAGCTGCCTGCAGAGACAAAAAAACTCAGTGCTCCACAGTAAGGAGTGCAACATGATGGTGTATCACCTCGGAACATCTTCTTGCCCCGTGCTTAACTCTAGGCGCAGAGAAATAACCCTGTTAGCAGGGGAATTAAGTTAGCCATCAACAGCCAAAGGGTTACAACCAGGCTAGATGAGCAGGAGCATAAGTCTAAAATAAAGAACAGAACACCATCAAGGTTATAAATTTTATATTTAAAGAGAAGACAACAAATAGTACACTAAAAAATACCACAGAGCAAAACCATTTGCAGTAATCTGCACTGATTTATTATAGCTTTCAAGGCTAGGAATTCAAACCAACCAAATAACGTGATTATTCCCTTTACAATTAAATAAATCCTGGCATTCTTTCACTAATAGCAATTATGAGAACAAATGAGAAAAATTTATCAGTACTGCAAGGAAAGAGCAGGAAGTTTCCCATGGCAGGAGTTTGTCTGTATGGCAGGCTATCACACAGCCACGAGGTTTAAGAAAACCACGGACACGAATGTAACCTTGCACAGATAAAAACCTTTTTATACACACACACATATATATGCATATGTGTGAGAAACACCAACCATGAACTAAAATAGATGCTGGAAGATGTGAATCTCCTAGGTTACAGCTTTCTCGTGCTAAAATCTAATCCATAGGAGTCATTCCACCTGTCACTGAAATGTTACCATCTCTGAGACAAAACTATCTGAAATGGTACCCACAAACCCAAGTGCACCACTCTGAAAAAGAATCGAGTGTGCAGGTAATCTACACAGGTTTATTTTTTCCTTGAAAACTGCAGTAGAGACACCACATCCAACAATTACAGAATTGGCTAAAGGCTTAAAAACAAGCCACTAGTGCAAAATACTGTAAAGACTGTTCTCTTTCATCAATTGGCTTTTTAGAAAGCCATCTGCTCTTGACAAAACATTAACTGCTAGTCAGTGAATTAAGATCTTTTTTCCTCCCTCAAAAAGCAAATTGACACCTATCTTTCATGTTCTGGATTACAGCACTACCATTGCCAATGGGAAATTATACAAGAGAACTCACTTTCCACCAAGGTGCTAATTTGGAAGGTTATAATAATCACAGAATGGTTTGGGTTGGAAGGGACCTTAAAGATCATCCAGTTCCAACCCCCCTGCCATCAGCAGGGACACCTTCCACTAGACCAGGTTGCTCAAAGCCTCATCCAGCCTGGCCTTCAACACTTCCAGGGAGGAGCAGCCACAGCTTCCCTGGGCAATCTGTTCCAGTGTCTGACCACCCTTACAGTGAAGAACTTCTTCCTCATATCCCAACTAAATTTACCAGTGAAACTATCACATTTCTTCCAGTTTAAAGCCATTACTTCTTGGTCGATCACTCCCTGCCTTTGCAAAAAGTCCCTCCCCAGCCCCTTCAGGTACTAGAAGACTGCTAGAAGGTCTCCCTGGAGCCTTCTCTTCTCCAGGCTGAACAGCCCCAACTCTCAGCCTGTCCTCACAGGAGAGGTGCTCCAGTCCTTTGATCATCAAAATATCTAGTGTAGAGCAGCAGGTATTCCTAGGCAGTGTCCCACCCAAGTGCTAACCAGGCCTGACCCTGCTTAACTTCTGTGATCAGGGTGGGGTGGCCATAGGCCTGATATGGCCTTCAAAACACACATCAGGTTTTCTGGTAAATTACCAGGCTAAAGCTGGGTTGCTGGGATGACTACCAGAAGGAGACATGACATGAAGTTGTTCTGTTTCAGACCTATTTCTCTCCTATGTTGGCCACTATCCCAATCCTAGAAACAAAAGCATGACTGTACAGCAAAGAGCAGGGCACCTTTACCATTCTCCTGTAACTCCTGTGTCTAGGATCTCAGACTAGCCAGGCCATGGCTCTCCTTTCCTGTTCCCCTGACAGTCGGAGCCAACACAAACCATTAGTGTTTTCAGACATTTTAAGTTTCACTTCAGCAAATCATAAGGCAACCTACCGATTGGTGCAGCTCTTGTGAAGTTTGAAGCTGGAGGATCCCGCTCTGGAGGGCAGGAGTCACAGAAATCTGCACAGGCTGGGCAAATCAGATTCCCAACGTGCACCCAGCCGTTCATCTGAATGCTCACAGTTAACACCTGACCTGAGCGGCTGCACAAGTACACTGTGTCCTTGACCCAAACATGCAGCCCTTGTGGAGAACAAGAAACCTTAAAATAAAAGAATAAAAGTCAAGTCTGTGTTATGATGATCAGAAATATTTGGGGGGGGGTTTGGAGGCTCTTTCGATAAGTAATTACTACATTCAGTAAACACCTGGTATTAGAGCATAGATGAACTGCAAGTATTTTAATGCACTCAGAGCAACTGTTTGGTTCAAGAATGAACTGACTGTACTCTTTGTGCAATTAAGCAGATCATCAATTATGACAAGTATAATTCAGCTTCTGCTAATGACTGGTTTTTTTAGAGTGTGCTGTTGTTGAAAGTGACACCTTTAGTGTGAGAGTCCTGAAGAAAAGGAGGATAATGAAAAAAATAAGCGCCTTGTGCACAGTGCTTTTCACCTTTGAAAAATCAGAGTGACTAATTAACGTCAAGCTTCAACAACAGAAGATTCCAAGTATTCCTATTTAGCTGTGGAGAAGGTGTCACGGGGGTAAGGCACAGGAAGTCTGAAGCAAGACTGGAAGTAACACACAAGCCTTCCCAGTGGCTGCACACTTAATTTGATGCTTGATCTAAACCACGGGCTTATGGTTGGAAGGTATTTATTTTCAAAGCATGTCATATAAACCAGTGATTGAAGGCAGAGAAGATCATGTACAGTGCCCAGGGGCAAAGTTCTAATAGTCCTAGCCTACATTTTACACCTGACTGTGGGAAAATAACGGAAGATTGGTGAGGAGAACTGTAAACACGCTCAAGTGACTTGCAGCTGGGGTGCTGGAAACCACATATACTGCTTGTTGTTTAGCCTTGTGTATTAGACAAGCAGAACATCTGTGTTTAGATAACATAGGCCTGTGATAGACTTATGGGCACACTATCAAACATGCTTGAGATTCCTGCCCTGCTGTGGGAAAGATCAAAGCACAGTGGTAAACTGCACCAGTTCCTGATACACAGAGAAAAACAGCAGGTCCAGTGATCCTCTAACGTGAACGGTGCCTCTGCCCAGGTGCTGCTTTGGGGGATCCCCTGGTTGGCAAGTTAACAAAAATAAATGTACTCTTTGCATTTTATCCGTGGTTTTGTGGTTGTTCCTGCATCCTACCTGTGTCAGTTCACACATTGACTTTTCTCTTTAGTGTTATTTTAAAAAAAATAAAATAAAAAGCCAACATGTACTTACTTGATAACATCCACTACCCCAGTCGGGGTAACTGAGTTTCCTCCTGCACTGTTCCATGACAAAAGCAGATTTCTGAATAAGACATACAGAGTTTGGTCCATATTTCTCTACACCATAGTTTTTGGTAGGGTCTAAGGTAGAAAGAATACACTGAATTGCAACTTACTAGGGGAACAGAAAGTCCACATCAACTTAGTATGCTACAATTAGTCAATGTCTCCACATGCAATTCAAGATTTACTTTTGGAATCTTTCAGACCATTAATTGTTATTAATTTAGGAATTTTACTGCCTTGAATATAAAGTGGGAAGAAACCCGAGACTTTAAAAAAAAAAGGCACTTTCCATAAGAACTATGTGGATATGTTTGCCCCCAGGGAGTGCCAGCTGTGAGTGCTGGCTTGAGGGCACAGGGTGTTAATTTGTTTGTTTTTGAGACAACTGCACAGACAGGTTCTATCCTACAGCATTCTGGAGCTCTGTGATATTAAAAGTTCACGCCCTACCCTAAGAGACAAGCCTGTGTTCTGGTAATTTGCAAAGCTCCTTGACTTGAACAAAAACATCTACAAAGGTGTAAAGTGGAATTATTTTTCAGAGACTCAAAAACAACCAACCAGCCCCCACCCTTTGTCTTATATTTGGATTATTTAGGGTTAATTTCTGTTCAGCTCTTCTGAAGTTTATTAGATGTGAGTGTTTGCTTCCCAAGTGTACAGGGTAGTTGTACTGTGCTTCTCAGACCAGCATAGCTTTTACACAGCTAGCAGTGTAAAACTAATTTCACATCCAAGTCCATTCCAGATTAACAAATGTTATCTCTTAAATACAGTCCTGCAAACTGACCTGGTTGGTTTTCAGTTATTCTACAGTCTGAGCTGCGTTGAAATTCACCACTTAAATGCCAACTGAATTCTTGACTAAAGGGACAATAGTCAGCAATTTCTACTGAGCCACCATAATAAGGCAATTCTTCTGCTGGTACTCCGTTAAGATTGTCAAAATACTGCAAAATAAAATAGGCCATGAAGCAGTTTGCACAAAGACAAGTCTACAACTGTTTTTTAAATCAAACTTATCATTACAGCTGTAAGAATATCAGCTATAAATACTAAGGAATTATATTAACAGCAGCTTACAATACCTATGAACCAGATAAGCCAGAAGTATTTAATACTTAAATAATGCAGAGAGTCACATGTGCATGTATCACTCCCTAGCCTATCCCCTGCCCCTGCCTTGCAATCACAGCATTCTCTGGGATGAAACAACAAAATTCTTAGTGTGCAGTGACACAAGGCAGCAGACTGGCTGAAGAAATACCTCAGACAAAACCCTCTGGGGGACTTTTGTCATAAAGGAACATTTCCATCTGATATTTGGTTAGATGGCCAAACGACATCCTTACTGTTTTATTAAGATCACAAGGCTTTTTTTCAGCCTCCAGACTCCTTATAATAAAATAAGCAGACATTTTTCACAATATCTACTCTCATCTACTGGTTCAGAAGAAAAAAGAGCAACCAAATATAATCACCTGGCTGCAAAGCACAAGAATGAAAACACTTAGTAATTTGTGAAAGTGAGATTCATTATACCTGATATTCCTGAGGTAACTGCTTTGGAAACTTCTGCAAGTTGCACACTGCGACTGCTCTTTGGTCCTGTCTGCAGGTTAACTGCAAAGGATTACTCCTCAAAGTGTCACAGTATGGACTGATTAATTGCCTCCTCAAAAAAAAAATTAAAAAAAAAAATCATCACATTAGATCACTTTAACTGCTTTTCATAATTTAACTAAGCAGCCTGTCAAGACTGTTCCCACTCTCCCCCACACTGGGCCAATCACACAAAATAAGCACCGACAACTTCTCTGGAGGCTAATTATTGTTATTTGTCTGGTTATGACCTTTCTAATTTAAAGAACATCAAGTCAGCAAACAAAGTTACAATGCACTTGCCTATTTAGTTTTAATGATATTGCTTTGTAAACTTTAAAGAAAAGAAAAAAAAACATACAAGCAAAACAGGCCCACTACACAGCTGCGTCCTAGAAACTTATTAGTATCGTAAGGAACAAACAAGGAATGCTTTGTTCTGATCAATTCCTTCTGTTGCTTTAAGTGCAACCCAGCAATGCAAAATGACACAGGCTGCATTTCCAAATAAAAGGGATAAAATAAGAAAGCAAACACTTTTAGATTAAGTCCCTCCCCTCCTCTCTGAAGCATAGCCAGCCCTCTTACACTGTAAATGCATTCTACACCCCAAGATATTCAGCTCTCTATTTATTGGGTGGGATTCTTCCACTCCTAATACATTTGGTGTGCTCCTGCTTGGGCGCACTCTGAAGACACTTAGGTCAGCATTCCTTGCTAATCTGTATCTACCTCTATTTCTTTTTACTAAGCTGCACTTGAAGGACAAATGCAAACAAGCATCAGGGTTTCCTCTGTATTTTTTAAAAACACTGTATTCTTACTTTTGCCTCTTTTGGTCGATCCAGAATTTACAGCTCTTCATTACAAAGTCACAGCCTTTATTCCGTCCCCAATCTAATTTCTCTGCCATGCTGTAATTTGCTTTATACCAGCTGTAAAGGTATTTTGAAATGAGAAAATAGTTACTTCAAAAATTACTGTTCTGATTAATAAAATGGCAGTTCAAAGAACTTCATACTGTGCCTTAAGGTCGTCAAATGAAGAAAAAGGGAAACTGCATCCCTTTCTGTCTATAACAATACATATTACAACATCACTATTTTTCAAGTCACAATGAACTAAAACACAATTTTATTGCTTCTTTGTTCAACAGCAATGCAGAAACCATGCATACAGAAAGGTGACATTTTAGACAGCTTTGCTTTTCCTCCGTGCATGCTTTCTATCTGCAAGAAGAGCTGATAAAACAATGTGTACTGCATGCAATTAAGAGAAGATTTCTATTAAGAAAAAAATAAACAGACTCTACAAATAGTACTATGCACTGCAATGCATATTTTTTTAAGGCTAGATTAAGAATGGATAGGTTTTGAAATACATGAAGAAAAATTAACATACTAGGTATAGCTCCTTGTCTAATGTAATGCTAATTATGTCAATTATCCACTGTGTTGCAGGTGGATAGGCAGAAGTGCATCTATTCCAAATGAAATCAAGTACAACCAAGACCAAACACTAATGAACCAACAAATCCCCCATACTTATTAATCCTTACCCTGTGTCTTCCATTAATGCCAAGGTGATCCTGGAAAAGACTCGATTCTGTGTATGGGATCCAGTCATTGCTTCATTCTGAAAGTTACCAGTTACTATTAGCAAGCCACTGAAAATCACGATTGTAAGAAAATGCTTCCTATTAAAAAGCATTTATTTCCAGTCCCTTCTGACCAAACAAATCCCAACCTCTTTCATAAAAGGGATCAAAAGTGCAACTCCCTTCCCTGTTCCAACCTACAAAGCTTCAGAATTCTACAATTTAGAAGCCTCATTCCAAATCCCAGCTAAACCTTATCTATGACCACTGTGCACTCATCTATCTCTAGGTAAAATAAAACTCTTCCTTCTTCTAGCACATTTATCAGTAGCAATCACGCCACATCTTCTGTCTCCTTTTGGTAAGACAAAAGCCAAGCTCATCTAATTTTCTTGTGCAAGACTGATTTTTAATTTTCCTGGAATTTCTAGTAGTCCTTTTCAGGACTGAGGTGCACAGGACACATGACTAAATGCACACACTACTCCAAAGGAAGATTTATTAGTGTGGCAGTAGAATTTTCCATCTTGTTTAAAAATAAGCAAGTTCACACCACCCTCAAAGAACAACTCCTGTCACCTTGGAGTTTCCTAATCATCTTGTAACTGTCAATTCTAACGCCCAGGTGTTTTTCCTGCTCAGTCACTTCCTTTTAATAAACTTTAAGGGTGAGTGACTTTTGCTGTAAGCCTAATTACACAGCTCTGGGATTTCTATTACTGGACTTGATCTAATTTCTATTATTTCTTCAAAAGATGTAGTTTTCCAGCCTTCCCTCTCCACTAGTGTGATTAGGAGTTAGTACCAGCAGACTTACTAGTGCCAAATTTGCTATCATTGCAATACTTAATGAGACCTGGATCAAGACCAAAACCAAACCACATGGATTACTTTCCAGATACAAACTTTCTCTGGAAAGGTGTAAAGGACACTAGTAATTATCTCCTTTTTTCAATCCTCAATTATTCTCATTCTAATGGCAGTCTTTCCAGTTGGCTTTAAACTACTGTTCCACACTAACTGTTATTGAAAAGCAGGAAAAGCTAACGATTTCAGTCTCGAGGAATACAAGTTTTTCAAGATTACTTCCACAAAAAGGTCTGTCCTGAAGCATCTCCCTTCTCATTTACCTCACTGCATACAACAATAACTAGAAAGCATATCTCTACCAAAACCAGCACACAAAGCAAAGTTATAAATAAAAATAAGCTTAATGTCAGGAGGGAAATAAGTGTTGATCAGATGAGATAGCAAAAGCTAACCCCAGGGCACGTAAATAAAGCCCAGATAATGAATAGACAGACTGATCAAACATTTGATATATAAGAGGCAGAGGGTGACAAAGTTGAACTGACTCAAAGGATTACCCCCTTTCCCTAAAAGGGAGCAGACCTTCTCAAAAGGGTAAATGGCAGACAAAAGTAAAGAGGCTTTTTAGCTTTTTAGGAAACAGCTTATCTCAAACTCACACTCTGAGACCCAGCAACAAGGTAAAAAGATAGATTTAACTAGAAATTGTACATTTAAGTATTTGTAGTTTAGTACTGTTTGTGATATATTTCGGTGAGGTTTGATACACCTGCATTTTCAAGGCTCCAGTAGGTACCACTATAAATCTAAAAATAAAGGTGGGGGAGCAGCCATTCCCACATCCCCCCATTCCAAATATCAGCACTAACCTCCAACAATCTCTTCTCCCAGTGATTGAGCTCAGTACCCATGCCACCTTGATTTTCAAGCTCCATTCCCTCTAGAATTGGACAATTAAAATGTTTTCGAGCTTCTTCCTGGAAAGAAAACATTTCAACACAACTCTCAAAATACTGAGATGGGTACCCATATGCAGTCCTAATGTTCTAGAATTATCCTGTAGAAGTATTTCAGCATTTCTTTTTCTACCACCTTGTTTTCCTCCAAATGTAAAACACTTCTCCTACTCAGAGGCTGACTAAGCCAGCAAGTACCCCAACACCAAGCCTAACAATCTGTCTACTTGTCTCCTGGATATAAATGAAGGACGTTTACAAGAATAAAACAACAACAGAATTAGCTGAGAATAGCATGCATACACTAAAGACCACATTAAAAAAACCCCAAACAAACAAACACAAAAAAACCCCAAACAATGTAGGAACACTACACAACCCTGTTTCTGTCAAACATTTCAGAGAAAAAACACTTTTCTATTAGGAAGCTGCACGTGTCAACTACTTTTGCATGGGGAAGTGTTTTCTGCAAAATATTTGAAAATCTGAAGAGGCATCACCACGGTGCTGTAGTCTCAGAGCCAGAGCCCAGCCTTTGCCAGTGTGCACTACCCAGGAGCACCTTTAATGCTCTGAATGGTTTGACCAGCACAGCCAATTTTCAGATCAGAGGTAATCAAACCAAGTTTGTTCTATATACTGTGTTAGATTTAAAACAAACAAAAAGATTATTTGTGGACAAATATGATTAAAGTGGTAAATTATTTCCAATACCAATTTATTACACTGAAGCATATGTTCTGTTGGGGGCGGGAGGGGAGAGTCTGAGGCATGGAAAGCAAGAAAGATTTCTAAGAATAATTTAGGAATTTCTTTTTAAACATGACAAAAGGTTAACTCCATTATTTTGTAATCAATAAAATCAGAAAAAGATTAAAACAGTGCTTTTAAGAGAAAATTTAAAAATAGGATAAACTTATAAATGAGAAAAGCAATGACAACCCTATCTGTTAAGGCAACAGGTATACCAGGTGTCTAAGTCTGTAGGAAAACATTTACAGAGCAGGATTAAGGAATTTATTCAACATCAGTTTTGCTTTACCTTATAATTTACTTCCCAGTCTCTTAGTATGTCAATTTTTTATTTATTTTATACTGTCTGTCAACCATTTTCCACTTTACTTTGGGTACAACTTCTCAACTAATTACACAGTCTTAATTGCATGGTTTTGGGCCATACTTGCAGGAAAAAGGTTACTACTTCTTAAAGAATGAGAAATATTTGTGACTGGAGAGTATGATGGTAACCTTGGCATACAAGGTGTAAAAGTTTAAGTTAATCCACACTTACAACAACACGAGGTGTTATCAGCAGATAAACAGCATGGCGCAGCATTTTTCCACCACGTATGTCCCACAGCCTCACTGCTTTATGAACGACTTTGTTGCTCCACTGATACAAGCCTAGGCTGCAAGAAGAATGTTTTGGTTATAAATCTGTCCCACAAATACACACTACCGTGCAAAGATTTATCTCCATAAGATACATAATCATGAATAACCTCTATACTTCCTCAAGCTTTCTGAAGTTTAAATTTATTATGCAACATTTCTCTTTCCCAAGATATGTGCTCATTATATACACAACTCTGATTTAATAAGGCAGAGTAAGATTATTAAAAAGATGTCTGTAGGCTCAAGCTGTATTGTCTGCAGTTAGCAAAAGTGCAAGAAATTAAAAATCCTCAGAATTGCTATTAGAAGAAGGAAGGTGAACAAAACCAAAAGCTCTCTACTCTTCCACCTCCAAAAAACTCTAGAACATTTCTACAGTATCAACTAAATGAAAAAAAAAATGCAAACTTTTCATTCAGTAAGTCAGAAAAAAAAAAATCACACAGCAGACTACACACATTGTTAGTTCTGCATAACTATAAACCTTGAATTATGTCTTAAAAATGAACTGCACTGACACTAGACAGACGGCAGAAAATACAACTCTCAGTAAGGTGTTCAGCAAGCTCTGAAATTTAAGCATGGGTCATTTTAGTGCTTAACCTCAAGCCTCCTTATAAATGAAATCCTGCCTTAGTTTGTAATATATATGGATAATACAAGTGCTTAATGCCAACATAAAGAAAGACTAAAAAAAACATCCCACACCAACGTTTGAACCTAATAAAGGCAAAGCATTCTAATAACAGAACCAAGTTGGATTTGCAACAGGCAAGACGACATCCTAAAAACACAACGTAAAAATATCCTTCAATGGGAGCACAGAGAGGTCCAAAAAATAAAATACCTTTCATTAAAAGGAGGGAGTCCATCTGCATATCTTGTTGTCAAAGGTTTTCCATCATCATCACGATAAAATGCAAACAGTCCAGCAGAGAAACCCTTCAAGTTAAAAACCAAGCACATGGAAACCTTTGGTAAGACATTCACGTACAAAGTCAAATGCCACGGAAGAGTTATCGCTCCCACAGCGGACGCACTGGAAGTACCGCACCTCAAGGCAATCAATACACAAATCAAAGGAGGCAAAGCAAGAGCTTTCCTCCACCAAACATCCTTCTCTTGCAACAAGCTGGAGGTATGTCAAGGAAGCAGGCACAAATTGCAGGGAAACACGTAACATCAACCCTTACCAGTGCATGGATAATCTCATGTTTTACTGTAGACAACATGCCAACGAATTCCTGAGCTTGTGTTGAAATCATATTTGGACACAAGTTAGCATATCCTGCTATTGGCCTGGAAAACAATTTTAAAATTAAATTGTTTTCAGTAAAATCCTAGCAAATTCAAGTCATATTCACTTGAAGAGGCAGAAGGTTTAAAAAAACAAAACAAAACAAAACAGACTAATGTAAAGATAAGTCCTTCCAAACTATTTCCCCAATCATTAATAAATAGTTTATTTGCAATACAGTGACTACTGGTGAAATGGAGAGGGACAGGACAGGATCAATGTCCATATTCAGTATTCTGGGTAGGTGTTAGTGACAACAGCACAGGAGATCTGAATTTTAGGTAAGACATTATAGAGGTACAAGGCAATTGTTACAATGACTACAGTTGAACAGGAAATAAAAGGCACGTAAGTAGGACCTATTTGCATCCTCCTTTAAATTTGTGAAAGCATGGCATTCACTTCAACAGCAGCAGGACCTTGAAAGTTTAGGCAGTAACAGCAGAGGGATAGTTTTGCATGAAATGCCTCACCTTTGCAAGTTACGCACTATTTGATTTTTTGGTTTTGTGGTTTTGCATAAATATAGTACTTGTCTATGTCAATAATGACTTCTACTTTGCTACACTAGAGAGGCAAAGAATTAAACTCCACATCTAAACAATTACAAAACTCAAAAGTTTAATTAAAAAAAAGACTTTGTACCAACGGGAATACTTGCCTGTCCATCTCAGCTTCCAGTTGGCAGTAGGCTGCATATGCAATGATATTTTCATGGCCACACCTTTCAGTAGTGAGGGCACTAACATAAAGTACAAAGTCAGCGTCTCGAACACCTTCTTGGTCAGGTAAGCCAGTGGGTCCACAGGGCCATTCATTCTCATTGCACACCCTGCATTGCTTTAAAAACGTTCAAATGGAACAATTAAAATATTTCTGCCATAACCAAAATTTTGCATGATAAAATTCAATTAGCTTGAGGCCAAGAATAAATCCCGTTGTAAGACAGCAGAAGATAAGAAAACTCTCTGCAAAGGCAGTACCAGAGCCAAGGAATAACTTTCAAATGACTTGAAAGCCCTTTTGATTTATTAGACACCAAGAAGATGGCAGCTTTTGGAGAAAAAAAAAAAAAAGGGTCTGCCAAGCTACATATCCCAAATTTAGCACCTTTATTTCTGACAAATTAAAAAAATATTTGGCTGACAGAAATAGTACACATAAGCAGCAACTGCATTTCACATGTAATCTGGTACATTTTTAATACTGTAGTTGTAACTTCCAGCTAATAGAAAGAAAGAAATCTACTGTAGTTGAATCAAAAATTAATGCAAGAAAACAGTTAGAAGCATTTCCTGCACCATGATAATCTCTTCAAATAAGGTCTTCAAAAAAATCAAAACTTATTATTAATTCTGTGAAAACCTGACTCATTGACCAAGGTGAAGAATGAAGTGATGAGTAGCAATTTAACAAGCTTTGAATCTCATCTTCTCTGGACAGCACAGTCTTAGGGAACACCAAAAAGTCCAGTTTTACTTGACTTTTGGTTTAACAGCATAAACTAAATACACTCCCACTACCTAAAGTTGTTCTGTTCTGTCACTCACACTTATGTGATCTCCCAGAAGCAGGTCACTTATGCACAGTTAGGGACACTGACTTTTTTCTTAATTTCATAGAATCATAGAATGGTTTGGATTGGAAGGGACCTTAAAGATCATCTAGTTCCAACCCCCCTGCCATGAGCAGGGGCACCTTCCACTAGACCAGGTTGCTCAAAGCCTCATCCAACTTGGCCTTCAACACTTCCAGGGAGGGGGCATCCACAACTTCTCTGGGCAACCTGTTCCAGTGTCTGACCACCCTCAGCACTATGTCTACATGACTCTCCAATCCCTCCAGGGATGGGGAATTTCCACAAACAACAATATTTCAAAGGTTAAGAAGCACTTGGATGGCTTAGCTTACCTGGAGGTGCTTCTCGGGAACGATAACTGGCCCACATCTTGTATGGTCTGCGCAGGCTCCTCGGCAGTACCTGTGAGGGTCAGCTTTCCTCCTTAAATACTGGTTTGTCGCACACTGCCTTCAATCAGACATGAAAGACAGTCAGCACTGTTTTATAATTAAAAAGAAACTGTAAAATAGCCTTACAGCATCCAACAACACTGTAATGCAGGTATTTAATGTAACTTCCATACTGAGAATTGTTAGTTACCCTGCTCTGCAAGACATCATGCTTCCAGTTGTTAATGGAGCATCCACAGATTCAGAAAGAGATCAGGAACAGGTTCATACATGGGGGTGCACGTAAAAGGAAACAGGCAGCACATACACCCTTTAAAAATCTCTGATATGACAAATGCAGATGTTGATGATGGAAGGTTGGCAGATTTGTGTGTGCTCCCGAAACAGCATCTGCTACCACCACTGGGTCAGATGGGTCACTGGTCTGATTCAGAAGGGCATTTCTTAGGCTCTTACTCTATTCTTATTTTAAAGGCTACACAACACAATATTAAATATCAACTATAGCAAGTGATTTTCAACCAGGTTTCACATACCTGCTCAGTAGTATAGTACCCGTGGATTTGCGCACTTGAAATGTCTTCTCCAAATAAGATATAGCTTGTGGAAAAAGTTTGTTCTAAATAATACAGAAATAAAAATCACCCAGTAGCAGTGCAGACATAAGCCACCTTACAAGCATTAACTACCAAGGTACATGAAACTTGCTAGATGCTGCAGTAGAGCAGAACTCCAGAATTCCTAAGAAGTTCAACTGTTATCAATATATGTAGGAAATATCTCGTTTCAGTGTTCCCATATTTTGGTATTGGAATGACAAAATGAGAAGGGAGTCAGTATTAATTTGAATGTACAGCTTCTAAGAGGTTGAATTTATTTCAGCCCTGAACTTACTGGTCACTAGGAACTGTCCATTACAAATTTTGAGCTGGAGCTCATCTCTCTGCAATCCTTAAACCTGACCACTGCACTCTCTTTTACTCCTTACATGCACAATATCTCAAAAGATAGTAGAGATATTTAAAATACTCTTAATGGGGCCAAAAAAGTTTTAAAAACTATATACATATTGCTCACTGAATCTCTGCACATTGGGATATAGCAAGCACCGGTCAAACAACATTCAACAGAATACTGGAAGTATCTGTAACCCAGGCATAATCTGCACACAAAGGCTTGGCTTCCCTGACTTGAGGATATGAAATTGCTGGTATCCAAAGCCTTTAATTAAAGGCTTTGAATTGGCAAAGCCTTAACTTTAGCCACATAATAAAATACATTAAAAAAAAAAAAAAAAAGAGGGAAGCAAATGTGACATACCTTTATAAGGTGTCTTTTCTCAGGTAACAAACTATATTTAAAAAAAAACCAAAACAAACAAGCTTTAGTTAACAGGATTTACATTCTCAGATATGGGGGGGGTGGGGGAATCACTAAAACATTATACTCACTCCTCAACGCTTCTGTCATATATAATCTTAATCCTTAGCTGCTGATCCACATTTCTCTTCAAGACGTGATTTTCCTTTAGAGGAACTTGATAGACAACCTGTCAGGGAGAGGAAGAAGCCGCTGGATGAGGGAAGGAT